TTGTTTATATAGGAAACCAAATACAACTTCTGGGTAGGAAAGGTTAAAATATATTTTCTTTCAAGTGAAATCACTATTAAAAAAACAATTTCATATTATCGAGTGATATCATTTAAGGCCTCTATATGTTCCCAATAACTGATGGCTTATTTATGATATTAGATATATCCACATCAGATGGTAATTTTATGTATTGGATTAACTGCATTGGAAGATTTGCTCTCTAAGTATTACAGTAAATTATTTTTTTTAAACTCTTATAAAAAAACAAAAAAAAACTATTCTCTTTAGGGGTAGTTATATAAAATCTTCTGTCTTATTTCACATATGATTTTATTTTTATACTAACGTTTATGAAGATTTTTGATTACTTATATTGTGATCTTATTTTAACAGACCAGAACATGTTAGTGTAATGACATCTCTCGGCAATATGCTAGTCAACAGCATTTGGGAAGTCAGTTCAAGATGTCAAGCAAAACCTACTCCCAATTCAAGCCGGTACTGTACTTCTAATATTTAATTTTAATTGAAATACATAATTCTATTGTAACTTTTAAGATTTTTCATTCAATTATTTAAGTTTTTGATGCTATACTTTTGAATAATTCGATCACAATCTGTTATATAGAAATTACTTCATATTGATGTTGTATTATATATATTTCTTTTTAACATACATTATAGTGTTCTAGGAGTTTGGACAAATCCTCCTATTCCTTTTAGTGTTTAGAATTATATGGTACAATAACTGTCTTAGATAATTTTCTTTTTGTTACTAATTTATATAAAAAGTCTTAAGTTATTTAATTAACTCAAGTTTTTGCATTACGATGATCATGTTGTATGCCCATTTGTTCTAGAGAGGAGAAAGAATATTGGATTCGAGCAAAGTATGTGTTTAAGGAATTTCTTGCACCAGTTAATACAGCCTTGTCTCTTGGTGAAGTAAGTTTTCAAGTGAAGTGAAAAATGATGCTATAACTTAATTACTGTAGTGTTTTCTGAAATTATTTATCTGTTGCATTTTAATTGGAAATGTAAAAATGGGAGAAACTTTGGTGTAGTATTTTATCAGTCACATTATAATTTCTTGATACCTTTTATCAATGTAGGAATTTTTAAGTGTCAACTTATCATTTCGGTTGGAAAAATGATTATCTAACTTGATTTTATTCAATAGGTTTATACTTAACCTTTTCTCTGAACTAGATCATTTACTCTGCTAAAATTGGAATGCTGGAATCTGTTGTTTTGTAGAATATGTTGTTAGTGTCTATTTGACTTAACTGGTATTTGCTCAGACATCTTACAAGTAATCATACTGTAGGACTTATTAAAAATACACTTAATGTGAAGATTTGTTAAATCTTTTTTTTTTTCTTTCAGCAACTCATTGATGCAGTTTGTAAGTCTGATTTCAAGTCACTTGTTCTCATCTTGGCAAGTTTAACATCAGATGACCAGGTTAACACAACAGTTAGTCAATGTGATCTCCGAACACCTCTTCATCTTGCTGCAGCTGTAGGTAACCTGGCCGTGACTCAGCTGTTAATATGGGTAAATAGTTGGTAATTATTTAGAAATTTGTATGTTAATAATAGAACCATAATGTTTATACTGCTTTGTGTTTATCAGCAAAGTAATGTAATATTCAATTTAAAACAAGTTATTGGGTAGCTTAATCATAAGGTTTAAGACTTAAATGTCAGGTTTTTATGTCCTTGACTTAAAATTAATGCTTAAGATTTTTGTGCACCTATGATTATATCTTCTCATTAGTACAGGTTTCAACAATTAGTGGATACAAAACTAAATTATAAACTCTGACAAACTTTTTTTCACTCAATCAACTGCAAGATTAGGTTCAGTCAATATGGTACATTCTGGCATATGGAAATATTTTGATAACTCTGTAGTATGTAAGCATACTATGTTTCCTACCCCTTATTCAATATAACATTTTTCAAAATTTCTCTATATACTGAGAATTTATTCGTAATATAGAAAATTGGTTGTGGTAGCTGCTTGCTGATCATAGAACTGAATCATTCAATTAGGCTATCACATTTACTTTCTTGTGGTAGAGACTGCTGTGACATAACACATACTTTATAGAAATAGACAAATCAGGTGATACCTGAAGATTACATCATCGATCCTTGTTTTGTAGTGAAATTGACCATTAGTCATGTGGGTAGTTCCTGTGCTTTGAGAAGAATGACATTGTTGTTTGACATATATAATACCTTTTTTTCTTAGTCTGGAAAAAGATTAAATTAAATTTCAAGATTTAATTTAGAGATTGATTTGCTAGCTAGTAAAAGCACTTAAAACATACTTTTTTATACTGTGATTATTTGTTGAAAATACAAGTTGTTTCATTGTGCTTTGATTGTGTCGTCTCTTTCTATGCTTTGAACTTGATTGAAGTGTTAGGGAATTCACATTTTGCTCTTTAAACATTTTCAGTCAAAACTTCCTATTATTCTGTGGCTCTTACTTGATTACTTGAAAGGAAATTGGTGAATTTGAGAATACCAAAACTCAGTCAAGTACTAATACGAAAATTCCTTTGTAATTGAATAATCAGTTAACTTTTTTTTTTCAAAAGCAGATAATAAGGCTACTAAAAGTTTAATCAAACTACATAAGAAGGAAAAGACCCTTGTTTAAACAAGATGAATGACTTAGCTTGGTATTCTTTGATATATTGTTTAGGCAGAGTATACATGATGAGTATACTGGAATGGGCAGCAACTGCCTGTTGTAATAGACACGAGTGTAGAGGATGACATTTCAAAAGTCTTCCTCCTTTCGTCTTTAGCTTGATAGTTTGAAAAATTTAATTTGTAATAAAGTATCTTCTACATTTTGATTACTATCTCAAACTTGTTCTTTGTAATAGATAACTAATATACATATGAAAATATTTTAAACTGTAATAGTATAAATTGCTTTCATATTGTGTAGATAAAAATTATGAGTTTAAAAAGTTACCCTAATAAGTTTAACATTTGTAAATTAGAAACAGCTAGTTGTTTCTTTATAGGTCTAAAAACTTGAAGGTTGTGCAATAATGTTTCATATTACAACTTTTTTTTGACAGAGTATAAAATAAACTACTGTCTAATTTTCACAGCTAAAGGAATGAGTTTCCAAACTGTATGCAGGAGTACTTATTAGTCTAGTATACAATGAGTTAGTTACAATAATTTTAGAGATTCATCAAGAGTTATAAACATTTGATTATAAACTAGTAGTACTACAGTTTCATGGCATAATAATTTGGGTGTCCTAAATAATAGAAGTAACTATTGACTAAACATAAAGCTGCACTTAGTAGTTTTCAGTATCTGGTGGTATCAGCCCTAAAATCTAGTAGAGCTTGCACTCTCTTAAGCATGGAATCAATCAGATTTTTAATTCTGCCTTAGTCCAGATGCCCCCACGTGTTAAGTTATCCTGTAATTTCTGCTGGGATGCTGGCCATGGTCATTTGGTTCTATGATGCCTATCAAGGTGTGTTACCTTTGTGTTACCAGGACAGCAGTTACAGTCCATTCTGCACCTGTCAGTTTGTGGTGGTGTTCTGAAGGTGTAGCATATTGCTCTGTCTTTTTGTAAGTTATTCCATGAATGATCTAGAATATCTCTATCAAATAGAGACAAGAGGCGTCCTCCTCAGAATGTGGAATTGAGTAACCTTGGATGAATGAAAGAGTTGTGTTGCCACTATACCTAATGCCTGTCCAAACCATTACTTTGAAACCTTCATTCATGAAAGTTGTCTGTAAACACAATGAGTTTAAAAAATGTTTCAAAAACATTCCCATAGAATCTAAACCCATGTGCATCCAAAATATGTGAATTGATGGAAATTAGAATTATCTGTGAAAGCTATACAAATATGCAAGGGTTTAGTTGATCATCATATTACACTAGCCAAAATGACTGCCTTTGCTCACTGCTGTCATCAGTGGCTTCCTTTATCCAGTATACCCAAGTTTATGCAACAGCCATTTGCATAATGCACTGACTTTAGCAGTTGTGTTCAAGGTTTTTTTGCTGGTTGCCAATGGTTAGCAGCTTATTTTGTGCATCAGATGCTAATAGGAGGGTTACCAATGTGTTTTTGAAGCAATGAGATTTACCTCCCCAAACTATTAAATTATCTGATGCACAACTTCTATGAAATTTTAAGATCAACAACAATGCAGCATATGGATTTATCAGCTTGTTTCCTCCCACCTCCACCTTGCAACTAAAACAGTCTCTGCATCTATGGATCATGCTTCTAATCACACTGTGAACAATGGGATTCTATTTCATTCCTCACTCAGTGCTGCCTCAAGCTTTTTCGTTAAAATTTTGTATTTTGTCAAAGGAGGTTCCAGAGGTTTACTATGGGAATTGGATCAGGATTTCTTACTGGCAGATCCATAATATGAGGAATGTAGTTTCTTGTTAAAAGTAGTCCATCACAATCCTGATAATATTATAACTGTCCTCATCTGACATCAGGATAAAGTCTGGTTCATTTGCATCAATAAAAGGCTATCAACAATTGATTGAACCTGAAGAGAAGAAAGTTCCTTTCTTTCTGAGATGGATAATACTTTAAAATGTGCAGAAATATAAGTCCCTACACTCCCACAATAGAACACAAAACATGCACGTAACTAATCACCCACACTAGCTTGCTAGTTCACCAGTTCTTCTGGGTAATGAGCAGATTTATTCAAGAAAATAATGATTAATAACACATGTTCTTAAAGTAAAATAATAGTATTGAATAATTCTATCCTTAATTCTGATGAGTTATAAGATAAATAAATTTGAAAAGTTACACTTTGCCAACTTATCCCAGTTCGCACTGTAAAGTGTGTCACTACAAATTATTGTCAATTTGCTAATGTAAATAGTTTCTCAACCACTATAATATCTTGCAAAGCCAAAAGAGGAAAAGGCCTCATCAGCAATGGATATAGCAGTGGCATATTATTATACTCTACTTTACTTTCACTCAGAAATTTTATTAATAATAACTTCTCAATTTATGGAATTGCATTTAAGAGTAATCTTTCAAACCATATTGAATGTAATTTTTTGGCATAATATTTTTTTCTTTAATTTAGAATCATCAGATACATGTTATGTGTGTATATAGTGAAGTTAGTGATTTTTAAAGATGAGTCTTCCAAGTTGTAACCTTACATAGAAGGAAAAAATACCTAACTGTAATCATAATAAATCATAAGAAACAGTAACATAAAATTGTTATAAAAATTCCAAACTTTATATTATATTTTGTCATTTTTCTCATAGCTTTTTCATTCAGTCATAGCTCTGAACTGTATATTGCTCAGAATTGAAATGATAGAAACAAGAAACATATTAAACTTTAACCTAAGAACTAGAATCAATGTATCCACCTGCCAAGGGTAATATATAATATAATAGATTTAAAGAAAATCTTTAAGAAGCTTTAATTTTCAAGTAAGTATTCACTGCACAAAGACTATTTTGGATGACACCAGGTGAACTCTGAGATGATTGCATACCAGATGATTAAAGTGATAGAAATCCTTTGTTGTTGATACGCATTTCCAAATATAATGTAGAAATAATTACACAAATCAGTATCACCTTAGGGCAGAAAAGTAGGGGAAATTAAACAAATATCTAGTGAAAATTGGACTAGCAGGGAGAAGCTCAGCAAGGATACACTATCAAATCAATTGTAGCAAAATTATTTCTAGGTCTCTCTAATAACTGATATTCTTTTTATAGTATTTTAATTTTAAGATGCATATGAGCACTTTTAAAAAGATTTCTTTATTACATCAAGCACAGAATTAATTTGCTTTGTTTCTGCCATTATTCATTTCCTTAAAATATGTTCATGTTGTACTTTATTAAAGCAATTCTTATTATCAGAATATAATTTTGTATTTGGTTTCTCTAGCATAATGCCAATGTGAGAGCTGTGGACTCAAAAGGAAGAACAGCTCTTGTATATGCACGAAACTCAAACTCGCAAGCCATTCAAAAACTTCTAATTGACAATGGATGTCCTGATTTTGTAAGTGGTATGAATGCACTACAATATAGATAAGGAAGTTTATTTGACAACTTACTTGCAAGTATCTTGTCTTAGCCATAAAGATGGAAACCAGAAAATACTTTGATACTCTGATTTACTTTTCTGGATATATTTTAATAAAGGAACGTTCTCCATATACATTCAAATTCATATTTTATGAACAAAACTGCAATTAAGTGCATATAACTGTTATTGTTATAACAAAGTTCACTGTCTTTCACTAGTTTAAATTTCAACATGCAATGTAAATATAATAAAGAAAACTTCAGCAATGATGGATCTAGAAATTTTGTTAACGTTGCTTAGACTTTATATGCTATGAAAGGAAACCCTTCAATTCCAGACACTGAAGCAGTTACATGCAGTAATATCTTAAGCAGTACATCATTATTAGTCCTTGTTGTTATATTTTTTAACACTTTATAACTGTCATTTGAGTGTGTTAAGCAAATCCTTGTGTGTTTATAGACATCACAAGTTCATGTTTTATTAAATGGATTTACTCAATCTTGCATGTGATTAAACTTAATGAATATATATCGGGTTCCATGAACTGTAACAACTACAGATGCTAAAATTTCAATTATTACTTCACTCTTTATAGTTGATATTTTAGCTCTCTCACTTTTCTTCAGGTGTTGTATAGATAAGTCTTTCCTTATTTACATGAGTCACAAGCTTATAGATGTATAAAAGAGGGCTTAAATTAACATATCCTTTTCTATAAAATGCCAAAAGTTAAGTGTCACAATTTCCTGGTTATATAAACACTGTAAATGTCACAAGGAAATTTTCTTCTTACCTTCTGCACTAAATTATGAGACATTGAAGAAAAGTGTTAATAAGGTTATTCACAAATAGTATTTAGTGAAGAAAGGCCATAAACACAGTTAATTTGTTAAGTAACATAATGGATGTGAACATAATAATTTGTACAGTACACTTTGCCTTTTATTATATATTATCTAAAGTGTATTAAATATATTAATATCCATAAAAAATTTCTCATGAAAGTTAATAAAACTAAATTCTTGTTCTTGATGTTTATAATATTTTTACAATGTCTTTCATGTTTGTGTAGAAGATAGGTAAGTTTTAAAGTTGCACTGTCTGTTAAGGTTTATTAGTAGAACTGTTAGCATAATATTAGGACATTTTTATATTGATTTGCCCTCTTTGTACATAGGATAAAATTGTGAATATGAGAACTTACAATATTATGAATAAGGCTACCCTTCTCATTGTGACTACAAAGAGATTTGAAAACATGCAACATTTAAACTATTTTTTCTCATTTAAAATGTGTATTAATTGTGAACATTCTGTTCTGAATTCAAGAAAATCAAATTCATTAAACTTTCTATTTTTTTTATTTATTGCTATTATGGTGTGATGCATTTTATGTCCAGTAGTTTTGGTAAGATGCCTAACAATACAATGTTGATCTAAGTCTGGCACAATGGCATTATGCCCCGAGTAAATAAATTTGTCATGTGTACTGAAACATGTATTGAATTAATAATGGTTGGAGACGGCTTGAATGGGTAATGAAGAAAAACTTTAATATAAGTTTAACACAACAGCAAGTGTACAATGTTTCGACAAGGTTTTGTCATCATCAGGTACAAGTAATTTACACTGACACGGATATATAT